CTTGACTGTCATAAACATGGATATAAATGAGCCAAAGGTCTAGCCTCATATTTGCACTTGTAATTCCTTTCTGTAAGCAGTGGCTTTTATACCACAGCGTACTTTTGGAAAGCTGACTGGTTAGTTTCCCTTCCTGGTTCTCCGGCAGCAACTATAGTTCCTTTAGCTTGTATAAGGATTACCTCTGCACATTATATTTGTCAGGTCTAGGGAACTAACTTTTTTTTCCTTTCATTTCTGCACTGTTATTTTGCTCCCTTTGTACATTCATCCCCTCCTACCTGGCAGGGAGCCTTATGAAAAGGTCATCATCTTGTTCCCTTTAAAACCTCATCTTTAAACTCCTTTGTCCTGATATCTGCAAAGAGAGAAGACAGCAGTGAAAGAGCTGGGGTGCTGAGATCCCTCTAATTGTCTCCCTGTGGTGCTTTGCTCAGGACTCAGATACACAATCGAGTTATTGTATCTTAGCAATTATTGTGCGTCTGCCAAGCCAGGGTAGCTCCCAACATGCATGATTTACACCTTTGGCAGCCGTGGAGAGATTTCACTTAATTTACAGTACAATGAAAACGGTTTAGCCTAGTTGCCTTACCTCCTTTTTGCCACACGCAGAGTCTCTGTGGATGAGCTGGAGAGCAGTCTATCACTGCAGCATCAGTAGCAGCATCGCATAAAGAGTATCCCAGCCTCATGGGAGCATATGCCTGGTGCTTCTGCAGCGACTGTGCACCCCTGAAATGGGAACTAGGGGTTTTGTCCTGTGCTTGTGACAGCACCCAGAAGAGGACTTCTCTTACACGCAAGGGTCCCATTCACAAGTGCACTTCTGAAGTAACGAGACCTTCTTGCACTTTCTAATTTCCTTTGCATTTTCTAACCATGGCCAAACTGAAACACAGGAGGCTCCATCTGAACATAAGGAAATACTTTTTTACTGTGAGGGTGACCAAGCACTGGAGCAGGTTGCCCAGAAAGGTTGTGGAGTCTCCTTGGAGGTTTCCAAGGATATCCAAAAGCCATCTGGACATGCTCCTGAGCAACCAGCTCTAGGTGGCTCTGCTTGAGCACGGGGGTTGGATCAGATGACCTCCAGAGTTCCCTTCCAACCTCAACCATTCTGTGATTCTGTGAAAGCAGGAAGCTGAGTTCTGGTAAGACATGTTATGAGGTTATTGTTACTGTGGATGAGAGTTAGTTGTGGCTTTTTCAAATGAAGCTTTTTTTTATTTTTTTTTTTTAAATGGAAAACCTCATCTCATCAAAATGGTTGTGGCTTTTAGGAGTAGATGCACCGGTTTGACAGTTGTAACATTTCTGATCAAAATGAAATGCAAACCCCACAAAAGACAGATTATTTCATGACTGGGATAGGGAAAAAGCTGTTAACCAATACCACCCTACCGAGGGGACTCTGTTCACACTACGGACTTGAACCTCCTTTTTCCACAACGTAGAGGAGAGCCTGGGGCACAAACCTACTGGCAGTGGGATGCTTTCCAGCTCTCACTGTGAATCTCCTCCACCTGTGCACGGCTAATTATGTGTTACTGAGTTGTAAACCGCTGGTCTTCTTTCTCATTAATTCTCCAGGACTACAGTTTGAAAAGATTTAGCTTCAGTCTCATAGGAAATGGGAAAGTTTCGGAAACCTTGTGAACTTTCAAAGGCTGGAGATACCATTTCCAAGTCCCGAAGTTCTGCCTTTTCTGGTAGTGCCACTTATGTTTTGCGGCTCCAATGCACTTCCTTAGTGCATCATTCTGGGGAGAATTTGTGTTACAGAAGAAACACAAGTTAACAGGAAACGGTTCTGGAAAACAGCATATAAAACTTCTGGTGCTTTGAACACTTTGTCTTCCCATTGACAGAAGATCAGCCTTTATTACCGCAGTCCTACTATTGGTGGGGAAACGGAGATCCAGGGAGATCACAAGAACTGGCTGCAGTTTCACTGGAGTCTGTGTCAGAGCTGGGATTTGACCTTGTAACATAAAAATCTCAGTTTAATGCTTCAGTCTAAAGCTTGCTGCCTGTAAATCTCAGGGTAAGAACTAAGCTTGTGAGGCACTGTCCTGGTTTCGGCAGGGATAGAGTTATTATTATTATTATTATTATTATTATTGCTGTGTTTGGGATTTAGGATGAGAACAATGTTGATAAC